AAATAGAGGGGACCAAGTGTGAAGAGAAGGAAACCGAGACTCAAATCAATGGTTTGGACCAGAAGGAAAAAATAAACATTCAACCAGAACAGAATGAAGAAACAAGAATTCAAAAAAGCGAGGAGAGGCTTAGGAACATCCAGTACAACTTTAAACGTTCCAACACCCAAATCATAGGGGTGCCAGAAGGAGAAGACGCGCAGCAAGAAATTGAAAACTTGCTTGAAAATATATTGAAGGAGAACTTCTCCAATCTGGCAAAGGAAATAGACTTCCAGGAAGTCCAGGAAGTCAAGGAGTCCCAAAAACTTGGACGCAAGGTTGCACACACAAAGGCACATCATGGTTACATTAGCCAAGGTTAAAGGGAAGAAGAGAATCTTCAGAGCAGCAAGAAAAAGGAGACAGTACCCTACAAAGAACTTCCCATAAGACTATTAACTGATTCCTCAAAAGAAACCTTCCAGGCAAGAAGGGGCTGAAAGAAGTATTCAACAGTCATGAAAGGTGAGGTCCTACATCTAAGATGACTCTGTCCAGCAAAGGTATCATGTACAATGGAAGGACAGATAAAGTGCTTCCCAGATACGTGAAGTTAAAGGAGTTCATCATCACCAAGTCTTTATTATATGAAATGTTACAGGGACTTTTCTAAGTAAAAGAAGAAGATCAAAAGTATAAATAGTAAAATGATAACAAACTCACAACTATCAACAACCAAACCGAAAAAAAAAAACTAAGCATAAATTTAAATCAGGAACAGAATCACAGAAATGGAGATCACATGGAGTGTTATCAGCAGGTAAAGGGAGAGAGGAATGGGGAAAACGTACAGAGAATAAGTAGCATAAATGGTGGTTGGAAAACAGACAGGAGGAGGTTAAGAATAGTATAGGAAATGGAGAAGTCTAAGAACTTACATGTAGGACCCTTGGACATGAACTAAGAAGGGTCAGGAATGCGAGTAGCAGGATGTGTGCAGGGTGGAGGGGAAGATATGGGGGGAAGTGGGATAAAAATAATAGCCTAATCAATAAAATGTATATATTTTTAAAAAGCTCAACAGCTGGTATCTTCTTGATGGGTCTGCTTCCAGGAGCAGATGGTTTCAACTCAAGTGTGTCCTGGGACCAGTGGCTCAGCTGGCAGAGTGTCTGAAGTTGGGAAGGGAGATGTGGAGCCTCCTTTGTTGCTCTTGAAATGCCAGATGACCTCAGCGTGTCCCGGGTTGACATTTACACTGGAAGTTTATTTGACATCTATGTTTCCTCCATTCACTTAGCGCCATTCAAGGGGAGCAGTAAGAGGGTAACTTAAAAACATTTCCTGAGCCGTGACCAGTGTGGCTCACTTGCTTGGGTGTTGTCCTGTGGAGCAAAAGTTCACTGGTTTGATTCCAGATCAGGGCACAGGCCTGGGTGGCAGGTTCCTTTCCCAGTCAGGATGCATATTAGAGTCAACCAATCCAGGTTTCTCCCTCATATCGATGTTTCTCTCCCTCAACTTCTCCCTCCCTTCTGCTTTCTCAAAACATACGTAAATAGAATCTTTTAAAATAATATCTCCTGAATCTCACAATTAGATACTTTCATGTTCACTTTATGGAAGACCCAAGGAGGGGCTCAATCTAACAAACGTGTGTATTTGGGGGACAGTGCTGCACGGGTCACCAGAGCAAAGAGTGGTCAGGAGAAAGGCCATGGTGCACAGAAAGGACCAGTAAAGTCCTTCTCTATCGGGCTGGGTGGGAAATGCCAGTATTTTATGTCTTGCAGGACAGGCAGCAAAATTAGGGTATTATGTAGGTACTGACAGAATAATAGAGAAGGAACATTTGCACATTTTTGGATAAAATTCAAAGAGAACACTGACTGCAATTATTTTTCTGAAATACAGACATATTACTAAGAAGAATGGATTGTTTATTTGTAAATAAAATTCGTGAAAATTTACTCCCCTTGGGTGGAAAACAGTGTTCCTCATATCGTGTTGATTGCAAATGTCTCAGCTCACAGGCAATACGAAAATAGTCAGTGGAATGGGCCTTAGTTCTGTACCAATTTCAGGTACCAAAAGTATGGTTTTCAATATTTAAGCATCCCTGGAGATTCTGGCTAAATTTATAAGGAGAAGAGAAAAAAAGACAGAGAGAGGCCTAATATTGGAGCAGGTACTTTCCCACTCTTTGCAATACTATGATTGTATACCTATAAAACCCAGACTCCACAAAGTATTGGGACTAATTTGATTAAAATTACTGAGAAATTCTTCAACGTTGCTAAAGTATTGAAATGACAAAATTCAGTACCATTTCTATATACCAGCAAAGACTCATGATAATAACTAATCGTTAACTAAACAATCAGCCTTTTCATACAGATAGTGCTCACAAGGAAAAGGAAGCTCCTGCCCCCTCCAACGCCAAAGCCAAAGCCAAAGCCAAATGCAAAACAAAGGTTTTGGAGGCAAAGAAAGCAGAGTTGAAAGGCGTAAAAAGCACACACAACAAAGATCTGTGTGCCAACGACATTTCCACAGTCAGACACTGTGCCTCAGGAGGCAGCCTTAATGTCTGTCCCAGGAAACCCAAGCTTGACCACTCTGCCATCATCCTGTCCCCCTGTCCACCGAGGGAGCCATCCATGAAGAATACAGAAGACAGTGGCACACTTGTGCTCACTGTGGGTGTCAAGGCCAACAAGCACCAGGCCAAACAGGCTGTGAGGAAGCTCTATAAGACTGACAAGGCTAAAGCCAACACCCTGCTCAGGCCTGATGGGGAGAAGAAGGCATGTGTTCACTTGCCTTCCCCATGTGATCATTTGGAAGTTACCAACAAAATTGGGGTCCTCTGAACTGAGTCCGGCTGGCTAATTCTAAACTTAAATATTCTACACTGTGAAACAAACAAACTGGTGAAAGAAAATAGGATTTAACAACTGGAATATCCAAGAAAACTACCAAGGAGAAAATTTTAAAACTCTGAGAAAAGACACAGAAGGTGATGTGAGTACACTGACAGACACGGGGCTCATTGGTTTTGGTCCAGGGACCAAGGGTCAGATGTCTGACCTCCAGAACTGCAGGACAATAAACTGGCTGTTTTGGCCTCTTAGTTCCTGGTGACTGGTTCCAGCTCAAACAGGAAACTAATGCAGGACCCATGTCTCCCATCCAGCTGGAGGCCAAGACCAGAGCTTCCTCACTGTATTTCTGATGCACAGGCAGAGTGAGCTCTCAGACAGAACTGAGCATGTGTGACCCAGTGAGTAATCCCATTCACACTACTCTGCCTTTGGGAGTTCTCCTGCGTGCTCTTTGCAACAGGTTTGTTTCTCTTTCCTTAACCAACTCAGTGTGTTTACAACCTTAAGAATGTGTTGATGGACAGGAAGGTGATGGTAGAGTGATACAGAACGAAAAAAAAAAAAAGAAAGAAAGACTTAACATTTAAATGTCATGATAGAAGGCCCAATGACACTTAACTGTGATCTTGGCCCTCCAGTCCCTGATCAAAGTGAATCAAGAAGCAGTAGCATTGCTCCCATTGAAAGCTCATTTTGCCATAACTTTCATTCAAATCCTGGTTTTATTCGTAATATTAGAAAATGAAAATACAGGTTTGAAATTCAATGTCCTTCTCCATGTTTGTCTTAGGATGAAATAATCACTGATCTGAGTTGACAGGAACAAGACAGTGGCATAGGAGGTACCAGCCCTCATGGCTCCATGGAAACACCTATTTCAACAACCACGTGTGGGTGACAATACCTTACAGTTTATGGGAGTCCAGGTTACAACTGAGAGGCCCTGCCAATCAGGTGAGGCAAAACAATCCAAGGCATTCATGCACAGAAGAAGGTAAGAAGGACGGACTCCTCTCACCAAGGTCACCCCTCCCAAGGCAACAAAGCACTGGCATCTCTGGCAGCCTGTTAGAAAGCAAGATCTCAGGTGCCACCAAGACCTGCTAACTCAGAGCTGGCAGTTCCTCAAGGTCCCAGGTTATTTGTGTGCACGTTCTGAGACACACTGCATGATCGCACACACAGGAATCCATAAATGATGCTTCTAGTTGTTGTCTGTGTTATTTACCATTTATGTGAATGGTGTCATGCTGCATGTATCTTTTCTTCAACAAGCAGTTCCTGAGATCACACCATGCTAATATGGATCTACTACATTCTTCTTAGCTTGTTGACGATAATTCTCATTTATGTTGCTGCTCATGAAATCTGTTAGGAAATGGACTATCAGTGTCATGGACATAGTGAAATCATGTACAAATGGCCCTTGGGCTGTCGGGGGGAGTCGTCCTTCCCAAGGAATATCATCACCATTTATGGCTGTAAGACTAAGTGTTACATACCCAGGAGAAAACAATGTTTTTCAAGTCCTGAGCCTCGATGTCAGTGAGAACACTCAAGGTAGCCTAGCCTGGCAAGGGCACTGTTTTATGAACAGGGCATCAGTACAGAATGGGAAGGGTCCTCCACCCTAATATGAATTGAAATTTATATTCTTAATACACCTAGGGACACTAGCATCTCATATAAGATGTGCCCAGCAGATACCAGTGGTGGTGGGGATGTTTTCTAACCTCCACTCCCTCCCAATGTGGGGGTGTAAGAACCACATGAGGAGGCTGGTCCCTGACACCTGACTCTCCTGTTCACCCTCGGAGCATCTATCTGTCACTGACGCCCTGAGAAGGAGAATTCCAGGATGGGGTAAGCTCTGGGGCAACTCCTAGTTTGCTTTACCGGGTCACTAAGAAACAGGCCAATCAAGGGGCAGGCTGCGCTCACAGGGATGCAGAATGACTGCAGAGGTGAGAGAATCCTGAAACCCAGGGAAATTCTGAGGGGCCAGAGGAGCATTATGGGCACAGGGCCAAGGAGCCCCTCGTGGGCCTGCTGTCAGCTCTCAGTCTCTCACATACACACAGACAATCACACAACTAACTGCAAGATACGTGATTTATTGACCAGATAGAAGAAAGTGTTGTTCATGGTAGAGTTCTCCCAGGTATGGCATAAGAGGTTGGAAATTTGGAGAAAACCTTTGGTTCTTGGTGAGTTGATGAGTCCTTTCTAGACACGTTGAGAAGATGCTGAAGATTCAGAGATAATGCCTTCCTGGAGGACAGTGCTGGAAATCAGGTCACAGAACTTCTCACAGGATGATATGGGGACCATGGAAGGAAGCACTCACTGGCCACTAAATAAGCACATGAGAGAGAGCACCCAGAAACTCATTAGCACTTCCTGGATTGAACTGAGGACAGACAGAGTTTCCAATACAGAGAAAAGTGGTGAAGATGTAGCTGACAGCCTGCTGTATAACCCAGGCTACTTGCCAGAACAGGGAGAAGGGGACATTGGGACAATGATTTTTCTTTTTCGGTGACTGTTCCCATTTTACCCTTCCCTAAACTGAGTCTATGAAAAACAGAGAGAAATCAGTGGAGGACCCAGGCTGCTTTCTGCCATCCTCAACATTAAAGGTGTTGCTCAAGTTTTGATAAGTCAAGAAAGAATGGCAACAACCACAGTTACCATTATTAAATGCTGCCTTTATGCAAGCCATACTTGCTAAGACTTTCCCAAATGTTACCTGAATAAAGCCCCACAATACAGCTGAGGGAGGAAACACCGGAGGAAATTGAGGGCCTATTTTCCAGGGGTAGGACAAGGGGAAGGTCAGACAGCTCACTTCCAGGTCAGCAGGTCAGGATGTGCAGAGATCAAAGGAACATGGTATTCCCGGAAATGGGAGGGTGAGACCAAGGGTGAGGCTTGGAAGATGGACAAATCCCAGAGGTGTATTGAATTTAGCACATGCACCCTGGTATGGTTGCCCTGTTTCACATTTGAAGTGTTAATGATTTTAGGAGATTATCATTTCCTGAGGCCTGCTCAGCTGCAGGATATCCACACAGTGACCCTGTGAGGGGCACATCGTTGTTTCTTCCTTTCAATCCTGAGACCATTTGCTCTAAAGTTCATGAAGGCGTGGCTCCTGAACCAGAACTCCCAAGTCAAAATTCAAGCTCACCCCGCAAGCTTCCTCACCAAACATGTGTATTGTAACCTTTGAGCATCAAGCCCTGCTGGTTTTGGAGGACAGGGACCCCTGGGCTGCCCCAGCCCCCTCAGACAGCACCCACCTGGAGGCCTGGGCTCCGGGATTCCCTCGGGCATGGGAACAGGGGTCTGCAGAGGCAGAACAGAGCACAGTCAACCAGCAGCCCCTTATTTCCCAGAGAGAAACGGAATGAGTTTCTAGGGTAGGACAGAGGGGCCCCATTGGAGGTGTTCTTACCTTCTCTTGCTTTTCTCCAATCAGTAGCATAGGGAGTTAGCAAGAGGAAACCAGAGAGAGCTAAACTTACAGACATTGGTCAAGTCCAGAATGTTTTCCTTCGGGATTCCACGGTCTTTGCAAAGTTCCTCAAACCTTTTCTTGATTTGTGGACTCACATCTGGTTTTCGGGCTATGAGAAGAGTGACAGTAACGGCTGTGACGTTGTGTTGGACCCCCATGGAGGCCCTTGGGACAGGGGAACAGATGATGGGGAAGAATGGCACTGACTGGTGCTTAGGTACAAGGGAGGGAGGGGCTATTGCCTGTCTTGAGTTTGCTATTTTACGATGTCCTTCTGCCAGTGAGAGATTTCATCACCTACCCAGCACCACCTAGTCTGGTGGTTATCCACAGTCTATACCTCTCTGCGGGGAAGAACAGGGGGCCCAGGAGAAGATTGGGGAAATATTTTATCTGCAGCCCTCTCTAAGGGAGAATCAGCACGAGGATACTCTACCTAGGAGCACCATCACTTGGGTTTTTTTCTGTTTATTGGAATTCATGGCATACAAGATAAGATAGTCATTGTAGTCTGCTTCAACTATGTGAAACTCGTTGTATCCATCAACTGTGGAGGAAACAGAACACAGGTCAGAACTTCTTAGGGTCCATGGAAAGCAGGTAAAACTCTTTACCTATTTTCTTTCATAAAACAAATTCAAGTGCAAATCCTGGAAGAGGTAAAGGTGATATGTAAGCATTCTACTTGCCCCTTGGGCGTCATCTGGTGACTTCCAAGGGTGGAAATGGAAACCTGTGGTACCTGGATTCCTAGTGGTAGGAGAACAGCCACAGCTGCAACTGACCTTCTATTATTTGCCCTGAAGGTCACCAACCTCCCTGGGCCATGTCTGCTGACTCTGTGTCTCTGTCCTGTCTAAGAGCCCCGCTGGTATTACATACTGGCACCCTGTCTGAGCAAGGTTTTGTGGCAATGGCCACTAAAAGTCCTCACGGTGGACGTGGAATTAGAAGCTCTGCAACAATTTAAATTTTTGTGGTCCAGTTTTCTTTTGTTGCAGGTGGCACACATCACCACACTGCCATCTTATTCTCATGGTCTATGTGCCAGGCCCTGAGTTTTACAAACAAGGTTCCCCAAATATTGGAGAACTTGGCTATTACGTGGCTCACGTGTAAAACCTAAAGAGCATGAGGCAGAACGGGATCTCGATGCTAAAGACATTGGCATTTAGTAAACTTCTAGCATCTAGAAGTAGAATTTACAGAGATTTTTAAAATGTATACTTACAGATAGCACTATATACACCTTCCTCTTCTGTTTCATCACAAATGAAAGTCAGTTCAGCACACTCTCCATTGATCCTGTGAAACAGAATGAGCTGAGTGGTGCCCGTGAGATACTGAGGGGCTGGCTCCCTTCCACTGCACCTGTACCCTGAGTGTCCCATTTTGTGAAGCATTGAAAAACCTTTGGTAAAACTTTGAAAGAGGCTTTATTTTCCTGTTTCACTTTATTTGCTACTTTAAGATGAGTCAACTACTGATATCCCTGTTCCTCCACTTCTCACTCTCACTACTGCTACGTCTACCTGTCTAGATACTTGGCCGAGGGCTCAGCTGTGCCAGCGTCTCAGATGAAGGCTGTACAAGCATTGCCTCACTTAGCCCTCAAACACAAAAGGAAAGAAAAACCTATAGGAAAGAGTTATGATCATCTTTTTTTACCCAAGCGATAATTGGGGTGGAAAGAGTGAAAATTTCTAGGTCCCACAACTAGTAAGAAATAGTTTCACGACAGAGCCAGGCTCTCCATCCCCATCCTACCCTCTTGCCTAAATTACTCTGTCGCACTGCTTAGGACTCAGATCCCCACTGCCCCTACCTCCTCTACTGTCATTTAAACCTATTCCTGTCCGCAGTTCTTACCTCTGAATCCAGAGAATCTTCACGTTGATCAAATGGAGGATCAGTGCGTGATGAGGGCTTCTTTTTCAAACACAGGCCCACAATGTAAATGCTCACAGGAATGTGAATAATTGTGTGTTTGTGTTGTGTTGTGTGTGTGTATGTAAAGCTTCAAGACCATATTCAGTTTCTTCCCCCAAGTAAAAATACCATACGTACTTTTTATGACATCTAATTAACAGAGAAGAGTTATCCAAGGCCTGGATAGATTCCACAAACATTCTCAAGCTGCCTTGTTCTTCAATCTTTTCCTTCACGTCTGAGGCCAAGAGAGTGCTATGCCACTCCCCTGAAATCTGCAATAAATCAGTAAAATGTTTGGGAAAGAAAAGAAGAGACGGGACACTGCATGAACCCTGTCTCCTTGAACTCTGGCCCGTGGGCCAGGCCTCACAGTGGTGATGTGAAGGTGGCATTAGAACTCAGGTCCATGGACACCCCACGTAGGGCTCTTTCCACTGTCCCTGCAGTGAGAACGGAGGTCCCTAAGGGTTGTCATCTTTCCACATGCTACAACTGCTCTTGGTCCAAGGTCAGAAAACACCCACTTTGTCTACCATCAAAACCTCTCACCCTCTGGGAGGGTCACCTGGCTTCACAATCCCCCAAAATACCCCAAGGTCTAAACTCCCTAGGCTTCCCCAACTCTACCTTTGACATGTCAAAGTTGCTTGTCACAACGTCATGGTTCTCTTCATGGTGGGCACAGACCAGGGTCAGCCCCAGACACAGCAGCAGCAGCTTCATCTTGGGAGGGACAACACTGACTCAGTGAGGGTCACTGTGAGTGAGTCTTTTCGTGACGGTGGTTCTGGGATCCGGCGCCTCTGCCTTTATATTCCTTCTGAGCCCAGTTTTCTTTCTGCGGGGCCCCACCAACCCCTCCCACTCCCCCAATGATCTGCATTCATTGATGGCAGTCCAAGACTGCTCCTGGGCATCTCATCCCTTCCAGACCTACTTAGTGTCCTGAAATTACTCAAAACACACATTCAAAACAAAAAAAAAGATAGGGGAAGACATGAAAGGCTGCCACTTGGAACCAGATTTAACCATGAAATCAGAAAGCCAATTATGTGTGGCGAAAATGGACACCACTGGGAAATGGGGTGTGTGGACTACCCAGCTTCCACCTCTCACATGCTGAGAGGCAGTAGGTGAGTCACTCCATTGTAACGAGCATCAGAAACAAACAAACTGTGTGTACCAAAGATGACAGTACCCATCACGAAGCATTCTAATAGTGCCAATAAGAATAATGCTAGGTATAATAATATATGGAAAGTACAGTGTCTGGTATTGAGCACATTTTAACTCCTTTTCCTGGTTGTCTGATTCAACCACAATGAAGGAACGACTGTTTAGTCACTACATGCACCTCGCCATATGCCGTTGGTCTCTGGCAGAAGTGGAGAGATGGGAGAAGTCATCCATACACACACTTCTTTTCACAAGCTGTTGCAGGAACCCAGCTGGATGGGACCAAGTCTGGACCACTGTGGGTCAGGAAAGGGGGTGCTGCCTGGGAGGGGGCGTCACATGGCAAGTGCTTACAAACACAGGCTTTGGATTCACACGGACCTGGGCTTCCTTCCTATCACTGTCCCTTGTATGCCATGAGGACAATTTGAACCTCTCAGAGCCTTGGTGTCCCCTTATGGGGTCAATCCTACCTGTCTATAGATGGCTGTAGGGACTCAATGGGACAGTGTGTGTAGAAACCTCAGACTAATGTCTGGCATTGCTGGGCTGGTGGGGTCAGAGAACTATTCCTGGAAGGGTGGGTCTTGGGGACAGGCAGGGGTCTTGAACTCCAGGCAGGGTGTTCAGATGTGGAGAGCAGGTGGGGAGGGGCTTCCTGGTGAGAAGAATGTTGTGACTGAGGCTCCTGTGCCCACAGCTGAGGCTTCTCAAAAGCAATGGGTCACTAATGCCTTGTGCTAATGGTCCCTGTGTGCACCTCCCAAACCAGAAAGAGGCCTGTGTCACAGGAAGAGCTGGACACAAGGCAGTGAACCTAGAAATTGTGGCATCCCATCTGTGGCCTGCTTTGAAGGTCCTCCTTGCCCCATGTGTGTGTGATCCTGCCTAGTTCAAGGGATACCTAGTCCCTGGTATTTTGAAGTCTGTACAACCTTAGACACCATGAACAGGCTGGAAGCGATCCTGCCTTTGAGCCAATGGAACTGAGCTTAACAAATAGTGGCAAAGTCTGTGCACTGCATTGCGTCTTGTTGATTGTCTCCAAGAACAGACGACAGCCTCTTAGCAACCAGGTCTGCAAGATGAACTGGGCTATGATGCTGAGGAGAGAGGGCCACATGCTGCTGTTGCCCACACCATCTCTGTCCCATTCCCCTCCCTGGCACCCTCACTGTGACTCTGTATCCCCGTCACACCACCCTATTGCAACTTTCTGCTTCTGGGCACTCCTACTATGTGTCCCAAGAGAAAATGAGAAATGGGCCAGTAATGCCAGGACAATTGGATCCCAGTCCATCCCTGGGCAGGGTGGGGAGGGTGGTAGGATGGACAGGGTCAGCCAGAGGCCAAGGATGTGTGCACTGAGCAGGCTTCTTCAGCGTCCCACAGCAGACTCCAAAGTGTGATTACCTCCCTCCCTCTCTGGCCACTTGTCCTAGCTGGCCCTAGTCCCCACTTGGAACCCCACTCTGGGCTGAAGCCTGAAGAGCATGTGACCAGGGTGGGGGGAGGGGAGGCTGAAGCAGGCAGAAACAGACTCCCAGCACCCCTCTCCCCACACACACCCAGCACTGGCACAGGCTTTTGTCCTTGACTTCTCTCCTGCATGGGTGAGTGCAGCTGAGCTTCCGCCTGTAGATTTGTGCTGGGAGAAGACCCCTCCCACCCACCCAATCCTTTCTGCATGCAGCGCACTCCCCATCCCTCCTTATGCCCTTCCCTGCATTGTCTCCCTGTCCAGTCAGGACCCTCTGTGTAGGTGAAGCAATATCTCAGGGTTTTGTATACACACACAGAGTGAGAGACAGAGCACCCACAAGAAAGGAAGGCACATGTCACAGCATGTTCTCCCACCCAGTTTTCATTCTTAATGCCCAATATTCACCAAATATTTGTATCACTCAATGTAAGGTTTTTGGTAGTGGTTTGGGAAAAAACTTATGTTTGAATTCAACAAAAGTAATGCAGCATTTTCAAACATCTGTGTGGAAAATTTGAGTTATATTCCAAACACAACAGCAGGACTTCAGAATCATCAGCCAAAGACTTTGTGTCTCCGACATTGTAAGGAAACCATCACAGGCTTGTGGAACACAAAGCAACCAAGGTGGTGATGGGTGACAAAGAAGCAATGTGTGAAGCTTTCTGTGGAAATCATGACAGTGTACTGTTTTCACACAGGCACTTAACGTGTTCTCTTTGGATTTTAGGAAACTGTCGGGAAGTTTGGGATTTCTATAACACATCATAATTTTTCACACTTACACTACCAAGTGTTGGGGCAGAAATGGAGACTGGAAGTCTCCCTCACTGCCGATGGAAATGTAAAATGGCACCGTCACTCCAGAAAAGTTGCTCACCTCCTTACAGGGTGAAACATAGACCTACTATGTGACCCAGCTATTCCACTCCTACCTGTAATCCAAGAGAAATGTAAATGTATACCCATGCAGAGACTTGTAAGTGATGTTCAAAGGCACTCTATTTGCAATAGCCAAAAACTAGGACCAAGAAAATGTTCATCAACAGAAATGGGTAAATAATTGGTGGTATGCCCATCCATGGGAACAGGATCCAACAAGAAGAAAGGAACAGGCTATTGATAAACACAACATGAAGCATCTCAGAATAATCATGCTGAGTGCAAATAGCCAGACCAACAATGAAGTACTTACTGATAACTGCATTCCTATAATGTTTGAAAAATGCAAACTCTAGACACAGAAAGTGGATTGGTGGTTGCCTGCAGCTTTGGGTGGCACAATGGGGAGGAGGGAGAGATCACAAAGGCACAGAGGAAACTACAAAGAATGATGGGTAAACTCACTATCCTGACCATGGTGATGGTTTCATGGTTATCACCCTGTACAAACTTATCAAATTTTATACCTTACTTTTCTTAAAGCTTTATTTATTTGTTTGTTTGTTTGTTTGTTTGTTTATTATTAAGGAGAGGGGAAGGGACTTGGAATTGAACCAGAAACCTTTAGACCCATGGACCAACCCCCAACCCACTGAGCCACACTGGTCAGGGTGAGAGGTATACTTTAAATCTGTGTAGTTGAATGTCAATTGTACCTCAGCAAAGCTACTGTTAACAATAGGAAATAACTTTGCTCTTAGCATTTGCATGTGGAACCTCTAATTTTTATGAACGTGATTTTTCATTTCTGACATTAGTCAGGGAAATGCCTCTCTTTGGGAGACAGAGCTAATGATTTCCCAGCCCCACACTGACACAGGCCCCACAGAGGAGGTTGGGATAGGCCCCTGGTCTATTATGGGTGGGGCTGCTTCCTACGTTTCTAAAGGCAATGACATCAACTGGGTCTAAGTGAGGACTCCAAAAGCATCCACACACATCCAGCTGGATCCTAGATGACCACGAGACTCTGGTTCAGATTCTAGACTTACCCAGATGGTCCCTGAGTTGTGATACCCAAAATCTTGTGGTTCCCAGACACGTTTGGAGCATTACCTCTAACAAACCACCCACTAGCTGCAGGTCCTGCCAAAACAGGGCCCCTCCAGGCCCTAACTCTAAACTTTGCAACTCCAGCAAACGTCCGTAGACACCTGCATGTTAAAAGCATCCCCTTGGGGAAACCCATGGTAGCCTCATACTTCCCCATTTCCCATTGCTACCTTGGGTTCCCTTTTCTTTCATGCTTTGTGCCTACCTCACCTCTTTTGCCACCACAGAGTTTGGGGAAGCCAGTACAAGTCCCTGGCTTTCTGAAAGAGGCCTCCCAAGGTGGCCCATGGTTTCTTAGTGCCAACTCAGTCTCAGCCTCAGGACACCTGGCTCCTTCTTACAGCACCTGGAAGAAGGCACTTGCCATGCACATGCTCAGCCACCAAGAAACCACAGTCCTCCCACAGATGTCCTCAGAGCATGAATTCAGTCTCCAGGTAATGCCCACCCCAGGTACCCATCCAACTACATTGGAGATAAACCTGAGCCCAGGGCATTGGAGAGGTCACTTGTGAGGGGACTCCATTCCCTGGAGTCTCTCTGAGTACCTGGGCCAATCTGTGATCATCCACCTCCAACCACCCACATCCACAGTACTGTTTGGGGCAGCTACAGACACCCCGTCGCCATGCCTCCAGTTCCTTGATTCTCCTTCAGAGAGAAGTAGAGAAAGCAATCCATCCCATCCTTACATGGATGTGTTTCAACTTTGCCTGCACTTTTGAACCACCTGAGAGCTTTAAAAAAATCTTCATGCACATGACATGGGCACCTTCCATTCCCATGTCACTGGTCAAACATGTCCCAGGCTTTCCTGTGCAGGTCAGGGAAACCCTATGACCTGCACAGGATGTTTGATGAAGCCAATGCCCGTGGTGAGCCTGCGTCAGTGGGGCTAAGCACCGTTTCACAGGTGTTTGCCTTTGATGCAATAAAATCAACTCCTTGGCTTCATTGTACTTACCTTCAGGGTAGTGGGTCTAGGTTGTAAAGAAATTAATGTGAGAGGCCAAAGAAGGTGGGGAAAGATCACTGCCTAATGTCTGGGCTTCAGAGGAGTCCTATGTGT